TTATCTCAAATAACTTGTGAAAATAAGATAAAATTATTTTATAAATACGTCATAATATTTATAAGTTATTTCAAACATTTTCACGTATACTTGAAATAAATTTAAATAAATTATCTTTCAAAAATACTTAAATATAATTTCAAATAAATTATACATAAGTCTTTTTGGATGAGATATTATTTTTGATATAATTTAATTTTGAGAATCGAATATAAATAAATTTCTTAAGAATTTTTAAGAATCTTCTAAAATCATGTGTATTCTTTAATTTAAATTAGTAGCCTATTAATTTTCAATTTGAAATAAAGTAAAAAGAGAGAGATTTTGAGGAAATATAAAATAGTATGAATTTGAAGAAGAAAATGAAATTAGAAAGTGAAAAAATTAAACTTGGAGAAGAACTTAAGATTGGAAAGTGAAAAGTTTAAGTTTGAAATGATGGTTAGTAATATTTAAAATAACCGTTAATCTAAGAACGTCATTATTGAGACTTGAGATACATAAAATGTTTATAAATTCTAACCCTTATTATATGATATAAACTAATATTTATAAAGTATGAATTCTAACTACCCATGACTACTATCCCAATCTTTATTGTTGATGACTTTTATCTTCATCTTCATTATTTATAGTCTTAGTTCTTAAATCTTTAAATTTCTATCATAACCTTATCATAATAAAATTGATCGAGAATAATATTTTGATACTTAATTAAATTAATATACTAAAATATTATTTTTCAACACTAGATGAAAAACTATTTTTTGACATTATAAAAAATATGATGATAAAATATATCTAATTTTTTTAATACCAGTTAAGGTTTTTTTATTTGTGAAATAAAAAATTGTATTCCAGACGATAGTGTGGTCCCTCTAACAAACAAAGCTCGCTCGCCTCTTGACGAGGCATATTCGATATCGATTTTTTTTTTTTTCCTTAATACGTTGCTTTTATTTATTTGTTTATTAATTTATTCCGTCGCCTTCTTTCTGAACACATATTTGGTGTACATGTTCCTGGTGCGTTTCACGAGTACTAAAGGACAAACACGTAACAACCGCTAACTAAAATATTGCTATTAAATATGTAATCAATATTATTAGAGAAATTCTACGGTATTTTTATATTTTAACGGAATTTGAAATTATGTTTTTTTAAATATTTAAATATTTGATTTAGAATTATTTGATTTTAAACATGTTTATATATTTTTATTTTAATATATATTTTCCTAAAAAAATTCATATATATATATATATATGAAATGTTTGAATTTAGTAAGGATTTTTTTTATATATTATGGTTTATTATAAATCAAAAGTTTTTATACTTGTATATAAATTATAAAGAATAAATAGAATAAAAAATTTATAAAATCTTGCTCAAATTCAACAAATAAAATTTTATTATATTTTTCTCAAAATTATTTTGATTTTTACAAAATGATTTAAAACACTTGAACTAATATTTGGTGAAAAGAAATAATAAATTAATTATTTAGATCATTTGTTTGTTAAAAATACATTACTTAGTGTGGAAGAAAAAAAAATAAATGTAATTTTTTTTTTTTACATTTTACATCATTTTTATTAATTTAAAAAAATCAGCTATACCAAAACATTTTAATTTATAAAGGTACCATACTAACTCCTATATTATTATTTATATATTTTATACACAAAGAGATTATTTTTGGCTATATCTAAATTAGTCTATAAATTTAGAAGCTATCATATTAATTTTTAAAATTAAAAAATTAAAAAATACGTTCATGAAAGTATAAATCCCCAATTATATTATTTACTATTAAAAAATATGTGATTAAAATGATAATATTAATATATTTAAAGACTAAAATAATGGGTTGTAGCTAAATTTGAGGATTTATTTGACATTTTAAAGTAATATTTGACTCTTTTATTATTTATTTTTTAAATTTTAGTGATTAATATAGCACTAGTTTCCAAATTTAGAGATGTTTACTCGTTTATTTTTCTTAACATTATTGTAGAATATGATGAGATAAGTATTTTGTTTTTTTCTAAAATAATGAGAGATTAATTATTTTTGTAAGGAAGTAGAGATGATTAATAAAGTAAGAAAATAAAAGGGCAGTGGTGGCGCTTAAAAATTCATTATATAGGAAATTGCAGGGATACAACGTTTTGGATGGACTGAGTTGTGGTTTTCCTGGATGCTGGAATTGAGGGTGATGATATGGACTTGTAAACTTCACTGTTCCTATAACTTTAATATCCTTTTCATTTCAATTTGATACATTCCACACCCAACAAGAAAAGCACGTCATTAATTCTCAACTTTATGCCTACCAATCCTCATTTTTATTATTTCTCTTCTTTTCAACAAGAATAGCTTCAAATTTTTACAAAATAATATATATAAATTAATAATTTTATACTATCATCAAATTAAGAACTATTATTTATGATAAATTATTAAAAATTTTAATAAAAAAGTTCAAAATTATACTACTAATAATAGTATATGATTAGATAACGATATAAAATGTATTAGTATTAAACTCTAATTATAATTGTGGAAGTTTTTGAATGATAGCACTATTGATATTTGCACAATATATCAAACGCAATTTACATACTTCGTCAGAGTCATTTACTAACTATATATCAAACACAATTTGCGTACGTTCAGAAATTCAGGCTCTCTAAGGGGACAATATTCCGGAACATAACAGTTAACAATTTAACTGTAAAAAAAAACAACAAACAGTTAACAATTTATATGATTTGATGTTAGATAATAATGTGAAAATACGATTTATATACAATAATGGATATTACAGTTAAATTATTATATAACGATTGTTTACCACCAAAACGTGGTATTATGGGTAAATATTTTTATTTCTTAAATATGTGATTAGGAATTTGATCTTTAAATTAATTTTTTAAATAAATATTAATATCTCAAAATAATTAGTCTTTAATTTTTTTTAATTAATAAATACTAGCTTACGGAAACATATCATTGTCGTTTAATAGATCATGTGAAGTTTGTTAAATAATTATTCTACATATAAATGAGAATAATTATATCGTGCAGAAGTATTTTTATAAACTTTAGTTCAAAGAAGACATTTTGAAGAGTTATTATTTAAAAAGAAAAGTTTTAAAATATTTTTTTAATATATTTTAATTTATATGTATTTTAACTAAATTTTAATATTTTAAAAATAAATTATATTGATAAGGATTATATATTTTTATAATTCATAATGAAATAACATATTTTCTAAAATTATTATATAGTTTTTGACTTTTCTTTATTTACCTTTTTCCTATTACTATTTAAACTTTTTAGTTTCCTTTTTTCCTATCAAAATTATATATATTAGGAGGAATCCGTTTATTTTAGGAGTAAATTCATTTAGACTTACACTGTTCAATAATCTATATTCTACATCAAATTTTAACAATCCGACTGTTGAATTTAAAGTTCTTAATACATAGATCAAATATCCAAAATTTTAAAAAAATTGAAAGTCGTTTGATGCTTCGTTTCATTAATTTAAATCAATGTGTAAAATGATTTTATGAATATTCGTCAATTTGAATTAATGAAATGAAGTATTAAATGATTTTCATTTTTTTTAAAATTTGTAGACTTGATCTATACATTAAGAATTTTAAATTTAACGGTTTGATTGTTAAAATTTGATGTAAAACATAAATTATTAAATGAAGTAAGTTTCATAAAGTAAACAGATATCTATATATACATATAACATAGCACTTGATATCACAATACGAAAAATTTCCTTGCATGTTTATAACAATGAAATATATTTAAATCTTTGAATATCCTCATCCAATTTAGATTTTGGATAGTAGTAAAAAAACGAGTAATAATATTTAAACATACTTTCATATAACATATATTCTACCATCATCTATAATTTTCCTGATCTCTTTATTTTTTCCCTCTTTAGATATTGAATATAATTTGGCCTGTTAAACTTTTTCGGTAAAAAATCTAAAAAAAGGCTTTTGTCATCTTTATAATAACAAGGAGAAATGACCAACCGATTAATAAAGCTCTGTCCTAAGTAATTTTCTATATATATATATATATATAATTTATTTTCTCTCTATCTCTCTCTATATATATGCATAAATATTCCCAGGGTGATCTTAAGGTTATCTATTGACATCGATGGATTTTGTAAGCAATGTTATTATATGCCAAATTAATTTATCATAAAAAAATATTTAACAAAAGAGCTGCTTTCGCACAATAACGAAAGAAAAATAAGAATGTTATTCAGTGAGTGCTACATTTGATAAACGTATTAAAATTCAATCTAATTTAACATAAATTTTAATTTATATTTAATTTAATATGTTTATAAATATATTAACTAGAAGGTGAAATGGTAATCTTAAGATTCATTTTATTAAGGTTTTAAATATTATATCCACATGTAGTATTTAAAGATTAAAACTCTTTAAAACCTTAATAAATAATAAGTGAACCTTAAGATTGTGATTTGACCTTCTATAATATATATAATTGAATATTATTATATAATAAAATTAAAAACTATAATTTTTAATCTTTAAATAAAAAAAATATTGAAAGATCAAAATCAGAACTTTGTCAACTACATGACTTACAAATACATTTAAATATAAAATGAATATAATTGTTTTTTGGTTACATAAAATATAACATGTTTGCCCATAGGGCGAACGCTATGATATGACCTTGCGTTATAAGATTTAATTTGTGCAAGATGCACATGTATTATAATTTAATTAAAAAAGAGCAAAATTACGAAGGAAGTCGTCCATGCTAATGGTTGGCATGGTGGAATCAGATCCTTTGATTTCTCATTAATTAAGAGATAAAGATGAAAACTCCATCTGGTCCCCAATCCCTAGATGTGTCTTTTTCATTTTTCAATTTTTAGTCCCTTCTCTTTTGTATCTTTGTATCTATTTATTTAGTTATTTATTTTATTCCCAACCAAATGGAGGAGAAGCTAACCGTACCCTCTATAATAGTACCACTTCTTAAAGTCCGGAGTGTGAAGTCCAATGTTAGCAACCGTGTCTCCAGAACCTAATTTGTGGAAATAGTGATACACATGTGTGCCTATGTATAATGTATGCTTTTGATCAAGTTATAATAATAATTACTACAATTATTCTTGTTATTTCTTTAATAATAGCTGTTGTTTGTTTTTTTCTTAGTTGTACTTTTTTTGTGAGTTGAGAGACAGGAAGAAGAAACATGGAGGTAAACCACAAGGAGAAGGTGGTGGAGAGGAGCAAGAGGGTTAAAGGGAGAGTGGTTTTGATGAAGAAGGGTCTGTTGGATTTCCACGACATCAAAGCCAACGTTCTTGATCGAGTTCACGAGTTGTTGGGCAAGGGTGTCTCTCTTCAGCTCATTAGTGCTACTACTCCTGACCCAGGTTCTCTTTTTCCCCCATCTTCTGCACATAAAACTATTGTAACACAATGCTTGTTCGCAAAAAAATTGATTCGTCAATCACGACAAGGAGAAGAAGAGTACACGAGAAGCAAAGGGTCTGAACCCATCCAATATGATTCTATCCCAGCAAAAAATAAATAAATAAATAAACTTGATCGATCTTTTGGAATACTAGGATGTTTTCAATGTTTTGTTTGACTTGTATTAATTAGTTTTGAAGATCTATTTATTTTTGTGTTATAGCAAAGGGGCTGCAAGGGAAGCACGGAAAGGTCGCATATTTGGAGAGATGGGTTTCGACCATTTCGTCTCTGACAAGTGCAGCAGATACAGAGTTTTTGGTTTCATTTGATTGGGATGAGAAGATAGGAGTTCCGGGGGCGTTCATAATAAGGAACCATCACCACAGTCAATTCTACCTAAAGACTGTGACCATAGAAGACATTCCTGGGCATGGTCCTGTTCATTTTGTCTGCAATTCTTGGGTCTACCCTTCTCATCGCTATGCCTATGATCGTGTCTTCTTCGCCAACAAGGTAACTTCGTTTAAAACCCTACCTGCTACTTGCTATATTTCCTTTTTAGGGGGCAAAAATGCTACTCTTAAATTGTTGGCTCACAACTCCCACATCCAACTTTCCTCTGTAAAGCTAATTTATTTGATTATACTCAAAACTATACAAAAATGCAGATTAAAATATTTTTAACTTTAAGATTTTCTGCCGAATTGTCGAGTAATTTCTTTTTCTTTTGGATAAAAATAAAATAAAATCTTATCATTAATCTTTTATGTTAAATAACCTTTTCCTTCTCTGTGACCTGGTTAAAGCTACTATGATTGGTTTGGTCAATTGGTTGTGTCGTGTCCTGAATAATCGTTTTCATCGTACACAGCGTCCTGGATATGTTTCATATACCATAAATTTGACGATACAATGTATCTGAATAATTAATATCGATTTTTATTATTACTTCCGTTCATAATTAAAAGAACAATTTAAAACAATTATTTATTTTCATATGAGACTTATTTTATGTGTTAATTATTTTTAAATTAAAATATTTTAATTAAAATAAATTCTCTTAATTTTATAAAAAGTAATATAAGACATTGATTAAGAGAAATAAAAATATTTATTAAAAAATAATATAATGATGATTTTAAAATATTATAAAATAAGATATATTTATTATTATTAATTATATTAATTAGTTTTTAATTCTAATAAATAAAGTATTTAGGTTTTATATAAGAATATAATAATTGAGTTTTTGTTTTTGACAACTAGTATAAGAATTGAGGTAGTTATATAAAATTAATAATATTAATTTATTGGGGACCGTTATCCATGTTCTTTACCCGAGGTACGTGGTTGACAGTTGACACGTTGGTAAGGGATTCCCTGCAGTTATAATCGTAGGTTGTTTATTTACTTTTTTTTTTCCTTTTTTTTTTTTTTTTTTTACTTACTTTGAAGGCAGAAATCCTAGGATATAAATTCACAGACAATAAGACAAATCTCCGAAAACAATATAGGCACATAGTATGATACAAACTAACTTTCACATAGTTAAAACAAGAGATATATCTCAATAAAAATAATGAATAATAATTCTCTCCTCTTAATATAAATATATACTCTCAAATAACTACATAACATAACCTTAACACTTATAATAAATAAATAAATAAATATATATATATATATATATGATTTTTTTATACAATTTTATAGTTCTACAAAATCATAATATTGCTAGTATATAATTTAGTACATCTATAATTTACATTAACGTGAGGCAGGGATGGAGGCACAGTATATGTTTGGGGAACATTGTGCCAATATTAAAAATTAAAATTATTAAATAATTATAAAATTATATAAGTATTAAATTTTATATAAAGTATTTATAATTTGTATTTTTAAAATAATTTATTAATATATACTAAAAATGTGTTTAAATAAAAAGACAACCTAAGCATAAATGTTAATTGTTAGTTTCCCATATTGCTAATAATCATCATGAATTTATAATTAAAAATTGAAATATATATTATTCATAAATTTTACAATAAAATTTATATTGTTATAAAATTGTTAAATAAAAATGAGTTATGTTATTGATTATACTATCTTTTCAATAATAGAAACTAACAATAAAATTTTACTTTCAAAATTATAGAAAATATGAAAGAAGAAAAAAGAACATTGTGTTTTTGGCAATGATCAACATTGTGAAAGTAAATTTGAAAAGACATATAGAGCAAGAAAACTATAAAAATAGATGTAAAATGTTTATTTAAAAAATGTCATTATCTTCATAATAAATAATATACAAAGAGAATAAACTAAAGTACTTTGTTAAAAATAAAACTTAAGTACAATTATTTTTGCAATTAAATTCTTAAATGTAAATAATCATCTTAATTATTCTAATATCAAAATATAATAATACATATTAAAAAAATTAAAAATTATAAATAAAAAAAAAGTCAGGGGACCCTACCGTACTGTGTACCTCCGTCCCTGCGCAAAATTATTTTTCAGGTAAGTGTTATTTATTCTTATATACCTACTGTAAGTTATATTATATTATTAAGTCTTCATTTATATAAATAAAGATATTTTTTTAGATTACTTTCTTTCTCACAAATGGAACTTTGGTCTGAAAAGCAATTTTGACTAAATTCAAAACTACAGAAAACACTAACACAAATTGCTGATAAAAAATAGAAATTTGTGATTATATTTGAAATTATTGAGTAATATCTTTTTCTTTTCGATAACAATAAAACTTTATGATTACTCTTAAAATAGTGGTATAACAAAATGTTCACCTTTTCTGTGGCAAGTTAAAGCTGTTATGGTTGTCTCGTCTCTTTCTTGAATGATCAATTTCTTGTACAGTGGATTCGGAATCTGATTATGTTTTAGATATCATCATTGTTACGAAATAATGTATATAAATATAATAATTATTACTTTTAATCATTTTTAGCTTTATATAAATTAATTAATAGTCAATATAATTTCTGTTGCATCATGTATGTTTATAGTTCATACCCAAAACTTTCATACTAGAATATTAATATGTATACCTCATGTTATTTGACATTTTCAGAAAGAAAGGAAAAATAATGATAGATGATAAGAAAATAAAATAAAAAATATTAAACGAGTATTTACAATATAGGAATATATCCATATAAACCGTTAATCTTAATATTTTACACATGCCTCACCTTGGATATCCCAAAATAATACTTGTGGTCCTTTCAAAATAAAAATAAAAACAACAATAAAACCTTGTGATGCCTCAAAGCTTTAGGTCTCATCCAAACTTTTACCTTTTATATTCTTAAGTTTTAGTGAATATTGGTTTGATATTAGTCGTGTTATTATTTTTTTCTCTCTCTAAATTGAAGGTATAGAGAAAAAAATACTTAGAATGGAAATAGATACTTTATTAGAAATATTAAATAATATGCGTTTATTTATTTTTTAGTTCTTACAATTTTACAAATTTTACTTTTTTAATTTCTGTTATAAAAAAATTATTTTAATCTTTATATTACTGATTTTATTATTTTAGTTTTTTTAGTTCTACAAATTTTATTTTTTTATTCCTTATAACAATAAACAATATAGACCAAAAGGAAATAAAAATGATATGTATAGAGACTAAAATGAAATAGTTTTAACTATAGGGATTAAATGTAAAATTATGAAATTATAAAGATAAAAAGGTTATTAAATCAATTATTTATAAAAAAATTAATTCTTTTTTAGTAGTGTATTATTTTTACAATATTATTAATGATACTCAAAATTTTTGTTGTCATAAGAACTTTCTCAAAAATTAATTTAAGGTTAATTATGTTCCAAAATAGTGATTAAATTAAAATTAAAATTAAAATTAATAAATCACATTGAAATATGATTAATTAAAAATTTTAGGCTTAATATATTAGTAAGTTCTTGATTTTCTTTTTGAAAATTTTTAATTAAGTATCAACTAAAAGATATTGTATATTCGATATTTTTTATAGTGTTTATATTTGAGTTTCTAAAGTAAATTTATGATAGTTTGAAACCATAACAAAAATAATTTGTGATAGTTTTACTAATTTCATAGATGAATTACAAAAATGGTCGAAAATCAAACATCAAGTTACATCTAATTACAGATTTTTGAAAAATTTGGGATCCAATGTTGTATTATATCTAAATTTTTAATTTTCTAATCATTGTTGTATTCCTGTTTTCAACTTTTCAAACGCACTCTTATAGACTATTTTTAAAATCTATCAGTTTTTTTTTTTCTTTCGTTTTTGTCAATAAAATATATCAGTTTAAACTTATGAAAAAGTTACATAATTGAATTGATGATTAATGTTAAATGACGAGAGAGCGTTTTACTAGATTTCTTCCATAAACAAAACCCGTAAGCAACACGAATGTTGCTTCTACGGTAGGAGTTAGAAACCTTGGCAATCCAACAAAAGATTAGCAGAATAGACATTAAAACATTGAGGAAAGAGAAATGAAATGATGACTCGAGAGAATTACGTCATGATACATAAATACATGCATGGGAAATGTAAAAATGGTTGTACATTGAATTATTGGTGTCGGTTGGTCGGGGTGAATAGCATGGCATCTTACCTGAAATATGTTTCTTTCATGCCAAAGACCATGTTTGTAATCTTGCATTGTATGTATATATATGTCACAATAATTAAAGTTGAAACAAGCTGGCTTTGTGATTCAGGCTTATCTTCCATGTGAAACACCCGAGGCACTGCGCAAGTTGAGGGAACAAGAACTAATAGCTCTCCGAGGGAAAGGATACGGCAAGCTTAATGAGTGGGACAGAGTTTATGACTATGCTTACTACAATGATTTGGGAACACCAGATGATGGTCCACCATATGCACGCCCTGTTCTTGGTGGATCACACTTTCCATATCCTCGTAGAGGAAGAACTAGTCGTCCACATACCAAAACAGGTTCTCCACCAATTCCACTAATAACAATCTCATTTCATTTAACTTAAAGGGCCATTGTAGTTCTACGGAACAAATAAATAATTAATCATTGTGTTGCAGATCCCAAAACTGAGTCAAGATTGCATCTTCTTAATCTAAACGTTTATGTGCCGAGGGATGAACAGTTTGGGCACGTCAAGTTTTCAGATTTCCTGGCTTACGCACTCAAATCCGTTGCTCAGGTCTTGCTTCCAGAGATTAAATCTCTGTGTGACAAAACTATCAATGAGTTTGACACCTTTGAAGATGTACTTAATATTTATGAGGGAAGTATTAAGCTGCCGAGTGCACCTACGGTGAGTAAACTTAGAGAACTTGTTCCCTATGAGCTGGTCAGAGAACTTATTAGGAATGATGGTGAGAGATTCCTCAAATTCCCAGTGCCTGACGTCATCAAAGGTATACTAATGCTTTCCCGTTACTAGTTACTTCCCCTTACTACATTCATTGACTTTGGTATAATTGCAGCGAGTAAGACTGCATGGAGGACAGATGAGGAATTTGCAAGGGAAATGCTTGCTGGGGTCAACCCTGTTATTATCCGTCGTCTGCAAGTACTCTACAAAACAATGTCAATTTATAATTAGACCAGACATTGATGTAGTTACTTTTGTGTTGTTTTTCTTTCAATCAGAATTAAAGTTTCATTTTGGTAATCTATGTAATGAACGTTTATATTAAAAGTCTGATTTCAGAATTAGAAACTCTGATTCTAATTAGAAAACAATACACCAAAATGCTTAAGAAAGAGTGACTATGTTTTGGATTCAAAACATATTTGTTTTAGCAAGTGAGCTAAATCTAAATGCTTCATGTAGGAATTTCCCCCAGCCAGCAAGCTAGACCCCAGACTCTATGGAGACCAAACTAGCTCCATCAGAGCAACGCACATAGAAGATAGTTTGGATGGACTCACAATAGATGAGGTTATAAATTCACATCAGGATTCACTTTTTCCTTGAGGCCAAACCCATATTGAAATATGGTATCTATTTGTTAACAACCAAACATCTTTTTGTTGCAGGCAATTCGTGCAATGAGGCTATTTATACTAGATCACCACGACGCACTGATGCCATACATAAGTCGAATAAACTCTACCAACACAAAGACTTATGCCTCTAGAACACTCCTGTTTCTACAAGATGACGGTACACTAAAGCCACTGGCTATAGAGTTAAGTTTACCCCATCCACAAGGGGATCAACATGGAGCTGTGAGCAAAGTTTTCACTGCAGCACAAGAAGGAGTAGCGGCTTCAGTGTGGCAGCTGGCTAAAGCTTATGCAGCTGTGAACGATTCGGGATATCATCAATTGGTTAGCCATTGGTATGAACAATCTCAATAGTAACAAAGTGCTTCGAAGAATATGTCTGATCTTAAACAAATAATAACTCTTGTGCAGGTTATACACTCACGCAGTAATTGAACCGTTCATAATAGCCACAAACAGGCAGTTGAGTATTCTCCACCCGTTACACAAGCTCTTGAAGCCACACTTCAGGGACACAATGCATATAAATGCCTTAGCTAGGCACACGCTCATCAATGCTGGAGGGGTGCTAGAGAAAACAGTTTTCCCTGGTAAATTCGCCTTGGAAATGTCATCTATTATATACAAAAGTTGGGATTTCACCCAGCAAGCACTGCCTGCTGATCTTCTGAAGAGGTGAGTGTTAGTTCAATCAGAAAATGACTTGTATTAATTTTACTCTGTCACACTAATAATGCACTATTTTAAATATATTCTTTATTATTGGCTATGTTGAGAAGTCTCACATTCTACCTCAATTCTTGTGGTGCGTCTTATATATTTGTTGAATAACTTCATTCAAAGTCAATTAGTTTTAAGATAAAATCTAATGTGATATTAGAACTTATAATTCATCTTCGTGGTTTGCTAATTCTGATAAGTATCATGCATCTCAATTTTTGTAGTGAGACTTGTATATAGCAAAATTTTGTAATTTTTAATAAATTATAATTAATAGTAAAGATTGTTAATGAGAGTAAAAAATGTGTCGTTGCTATTTATCCTTATAAGAACTTAGTAACATACTACAATTATATTTCAGGGGAATGGCAGTTCCTGATTCAAGCTGCCGTCATGGACTTAAACTTGTGATAGAGGATTATCCGTTTGCTGTGGACGGGCTAGAAATCTGGGATGCAATTGAAACATGGGTGACTGAATATTGCAACTTCTATTACACATCTAATGACATGGTTGAGGAAGACTATGAACTTCAGAATTGGTGGAAAGAGATCCGCAATGAGGGTCATGGTGACTTAAAAGATAGGGCATGGTGGCCAGAGATGAAGACTAGAGAGGAACTGATTCAATCATGCACCATCATCATCTGGCTGGCTTCTGCATTCCATGCAGCTGTGAATTTCGGACAGTACCCTTTTGCTGGCTACCTCCCTAATCGTCCAACAGTGAGTCGTAGGTTCATGCCTGAGCCAGGTACCCCAGAATATGAGGAGCTTAAGTCAGACCCTGACTTGGCATTCCTGAAAACAATCAG